GCGCGAAATAGGAAAATAAAATTTTTTTATAGTCAGAAGTGGGATCTACGAACCGCCCACAAGCAATGATCAAGGTGAACCGGAACCAGCGCTTAGATCCTGCCAACCTGACTTCTTGTAGCCAAACAGATATAAGTTTTATTGCCGCAGTGATGAAAGATTTGCACTGTAGAAATTAGAAGAAAATAAAATTACATTATGTCAAAGTATTTACCCAGAAGAGTGGATGCGACCTGAACGGTGCGCCTAGACCGCCTGGTCCAGCCCTGTAGAACAGGAAAATATATAGATTATTTTAAAATGGATACTGAGAAAGTATACGACGCTAGAAGCCATAGAAGTGTAAAAAAAATTTAATATTAATGTTTGAAGTGGGATTTGAACCACAAGAGAATTGAGTCCTGAACGCAAAGTATTAGACCATAGCTGACTTCATAAAGCGTAATGAACCTTAAGGTATTAAATTGGGACATTAAGAAAGATGGTACGGCTCGAAAAAACAAATTTTTGCTTGTTGTCGTATGGTTCGGAACCCACGCCATCAAGTATAGTGGGAATTATGACCGAACGTACGCCTTAGATTGCGGCCATCCCGACTCTGTAGAACCAGAAACAGCAACCAAACTGTATATAAGATCATGTACGCCAGAAACCAGCTGCAAAAAAAATTTGGTCATTAATGTCGTAGCGGATATTCAGCCTGGCCAAGAGGGACGACCGCATCTGAACGCAGCGCCCAGACCCGCCCGTCCCGACCAAGCGGCCTGTTAAGGCGTAGCTCTAAACTGCATACTAAGATTTCATGCACAGAAATGAAAATAATTTTTTAATGTTAGAAGTGGACGGAATCACCACAAGAGCGGACTGCGACCTGAACGCAGCCTTCTAGACGTCGGCTATCCGACTTACAAGCAAAGGCCTGAACTCATAAGTGAAGTTTTAAATTAGATGTTTAGAACGACAGACTAGAATTAAAAAAGCAATTATTCTTACGTGTCAAAAGTGGGATTCAACCAAACTCCCAAGAAAGAGGGATCATGACCTGAATCACAGCGCCTTGAGACCGTTCACATTCTTACTTTCTCTTGAACAAGAAACGGTAAGTTTATTTTATATGCAGAGTTTAAAGATTATGTACGGCTGAAAATTAGAAGGAAAATAAAATTTCCATATCTTTACCATTGGGATTCCGAACCATCGCCCATTAAGAGAGTTTGATCGTTCTAACGCAGCGAAGGGACTGCTCGGCCATCCCATTCTGCGCGGTGTCTGAAACTCTATAAGGCGTAGCGAAATTCAGACTTTGGCGAAAGACAAGCAACATGCAACTGAACGAAGCACGTGGCGACCTGAACGCAGCGCCTTAGACCGCTCGGCCATCCTGATCTTCCAGAATCAAGAAACATATAAGTTTATTTCAAATTAAGAGTTTGAGAAAGATTATGTACGGCTAGAAATTAGAAGGAAAACAAAATTTCAGATTCATGTCATAAGTGGGATTCGAATCCACGCCCACAAGAGAGGACTGCGACCTGAACTCAGCGTCTTCGACCGCTCGGCCGTTCTGACATGTTTTAGAGTCATGTAACGGATAAGTTTATTTAAATGGAGAGTTTGAGAAAGATTATGCACGGCTGGAAATTAGAATTTCATATTCATGTCAGAAGAGGGATTCGAGCCCATGCCCATAAGAGTGGACCGCGACCTGAACGCAGCGCCTTTGAAGGCTCGACCATCCTCACTTCTTGCAGAATCCAGAAACATATAATATTATATTAAATGCAGAGTTTGAGAAAGATTATGTACGGCTAGAAATTAGAAGGAAAACAAAATTTCAGATTAATGTCAGAAGTGGGATTCGAATCTAAGCCCACAAGTGCGGACTGCGACCTGAACGCAGCGCCTGAGAGAGCTCGGCCGTTCTAATGTCTTTTAGAGCCCAGTAACTTATAAGTTTATTTTAAATAGAGAGTTTGAGAAAGATAATGTACGGCTGGAAATTAGAAGGAAAATAAAATTTCATATTTATATCAGAAGTGGGATTCGAACCCACGCCCACAAGAATGGAAAACGACCTGAACGCATCGCCATAGACCGCTCGGCCATCCTGACTTCTTGCAAAATCAAGAAACATATAAGTTTATTTCAAATTAAGAGTTTGAGAAAGATTATGTACGGCTAGAAATTAGAAGGAAAACAAAACTTCAGATTCATGTCATAAGCGGGATTCGAACCCACGCCCACAAGAGAGGAATGCGACCTGAACGGAGCGCCTTCGACAGCTCGGCCGTTCTGACATGTTTTAGAGTCATGTAACGGATAAGTTTATTTTAAATGGAGAGTTTGAGAAAGATTATGCTCGGCTGGAAATTAGAAGGAAAATAAAATTTCATATTCATGTCAGAAGAGGGATTCGAACC